TGTTATTCCTGCAACCTTTTGGGTTTAGCTGGGTACCTGACACACACACACACACACACACACACACGCATTCAAACACACACATTTTTACACTACGCCACATGACACATTCCCTGTAAGTCCCAAAGGGATCCTGGGGAGTTTCTGTCAGTTTGTGTGTGTGTGTTGTGGCTAAGCAGCATTGAGACTTCCTACAATTCCCTGATGTCATTTGTCAAGTGTTGGAGGAGCTTGGAATATAGATTAGTGAGAACACACATACACACACACACACACACACACACGATCTGATAGACTGTAAGCACGTTGCACTTACGACTCTCGTGCCAGTTTGTCTTCTATGTTTATGTCTCTCTCTCTCTGTTCAGAGTTTGTTTTGATGTGATTAACATTCTAACCTGCCGTCTCGGGCAGAAATCACATATTAAAAATATGAGATATTTCCCACCAGCCTCCACAGCCCCCCAGTCGGCGATTCATCTCTCGCCCCTTCAATTCCTGAGTGTGCTCTCTTGCAATCCTTCAGCCGTCCTCCACTGCATCCCTCCATTGTATCCCCTCTCGTGATTCTTTACCCTATTCCCCTGCCGTCCTCTCTCCTTTACTCCTTATTCCCTTCATCATTTCCCTCCATCCCTCGCCGCTTCCTTCTCCTTTCAAACCTGTTCCTTCATTCATCTTTTACTCTCCCCACATTCCCTCTCTCATCCTGCTCCCATTGTTTTTTTAATCTATGCTCTGTCTGCTCTCTCTTCCTGGTCTCCTCCTCTCTTCTTCCTCTCTCGCTCTGTATTCTACCCACCTCTTCTCTGAACTCTGAAGGAATCATCCTGCAGTGTGAACGAGTCTGATCAACACATTCTCACACCTGTGTCACTCTACGCTCCCCCCTCTAGCGTCAATATTCGCTAAGAATACCTTGAGTTACCTTGAGTTCAGCGTTTTGGCCGTCGACATCTTGGTTTTTTGCAACCAGTGAACTGAAGTGACCACATTTATACTGTGGAGGAGTGACGTAGACATGCTGTATATGGCTCTAGCAACAACCTGTCAATCACCGTGTAGCCCCGCCCTAAAGCATCCCCTGCTTTATGGTCTGTTTGACTCTAAATGGACCATAATGTACTAAATGAACATCATGCTGTATTGAAGAAGACTTGAAACTAGAGATTGAGACCATAAACTCATGTTTACAATGTTTACTGAGGTAATAAATCAAGAGAGAAGTAGAGTCATTTTCTCATAGACTTCTATACAACCAGAGGAGTCGCCCCCTGGTGGACATTAGAGAGAATGCAAGCAGATACTTCCGCATTGGCTTCACTTTTCAGAACCAGAGGTTGCCGGCCTGGTTTACAATGCAGTTTGCGTTGCATTCACACACTAAAGAGTGTCTCTGTACGTCGGCGTCAGACGTAGTGACTGACCAATCTGCTGTATTTGACACATCGAGAGTGAGAACCGACTGGTCTGATACGATTGCCACAAACACTCAGGACACCACTGTTTTCTCACACAAATACACTCACACCTTCTCTGGATAGCCCTTCCTTTGTGAAGGTGATGTTCTTTGAGGATTTGTCTGTTTCACATCTTTTTGACAGTTTGACACACACTCACACGCTTCAGCGACCATATATGCTGCCAAGCACAGTTTACCAGCTAAAATACTCTTTCGCTTGTCAGTTTATCAACTACACAACTCCTTCACCGACTCACTCGTTTCTTCTTCCTCACACACACACACACACACACACACACACACACACACACGTAAACACACACAAACACACTCATTAAAGTATGTATGGCTCAAGTTGCGAAAAACAAAAGCTAATCACTTTTTCACACAGGGCCATGTAGGTTTGGATTTTTTTTTCCCCCTTAATAATAAAAACCTTCATTTAAAAACTGCATTTTGTGTTTACTTGTGTTATCTTTGTCTAATATTTAAATTTGTTTGATGATCTGAAACATTTAAGTGTGACAAACATGCAAAAAAATAAGAAATCAGGAAGGGGGCAAACACTTTTTCACACAACTGTATACTGTATCTGGGGAAGAAAAAGTCGAATGTGAAGAAAGAATATAAAGTACATGGAAAAATCGACTAAGACAACAAAAAGATTCAATTTGTTTTTTCATTGCAATCAAGTGTCATCTAATTCCCTATTTTGGAGTTACAAAAAGACACAAGGGCTATCAGTGGAAGAGAGAGAAAACAGCAGATGGCGAGAGAGAAAGAGAACGACTGTGAGAGAATGCCAAGGGCAATAAATCAAAGAAATAGACAACAAGCAAAGGAGAATAAAAAGGAAATTGAGACAGACAGATTAAACTAAACATCAGCCAAGGTCTTCTCAAAGTAGCATCTCTCTAACAGCGAGTGAATCAACCACTCCAAACAAAGACATCAATACACATCACTATCTATCAAGAAGAGAAGACATTCTCAGTGGTAGATACGTTAAAGCACTGCAGTGGGGGAAATGATTTGAGCACATTTACCCAAGTACTGTTTCGTTCAATTGTGAGGTATTTAATTTGATGTGTTCAAATTTATTTTATAATATTTAACACTATTGGAGGCCATTTACACATCACCCATTCTTTCTGTAGTTGCTAGTTACTATTTTATCAACGAATCATACGATCTAGGTCAGCTTAAATTGAGTAAACAACCCAACCAGCTACTAATGTGTTGTCAATTCAATTTAACTTTATGTTCTTTTTGGCCACTTGAGGGCAGCAGAAACAAGCTGAAAACATTGACATATCAACACCTTATGAAGTCGTTATGGCTAACATGTTAGCCAACAGTTGCGTATTTACTTAGCAACGTTAGCGCTCATTTTCGGGTCCTGTTTTTTGTCCAGTATTCACACTTCTTTTAGCTCTGTTTTGCTAACTCTTGAGGGACATATGTGGCTCATTAGATGCTAAAAGCTCCACTGTGTTCACCAGCTACCTGCTAACGTTGCCAGTAGCGTATGGTGAGCGTTATCACTGAAAACCGCCTCCAAGTGTAAATTAGTTGAACTACCTTGGAAAGTCAGCTAATTGATAATTAGAGGCTACTATGGTAGCTTAAACTTGGGAAGGTCATGTGGGCTAATTAGCTAAGAGTCCAGCAAGGGTTTAATGATACATCACTTTAAATTATGGACTGAACTGTGAATACTAAATGATTTCAGAGGCAATCACCTCTGTTCTCGTTTGACTCCATAACTTCATCATAGTAGTAATTCTATTAGCATGACTCCAAGCGTTTCCAATGTTTTAGTTGAACTTTCCCCAGACCTCCGTGCTCTTGGCGAGGTGGTTGTCTGGAGATATGAGATTAAAGCGAAAGACATGAAGGCAGGATAACTATATGAGAAAAATGTGGTCTTATCTGCCTTAGATCCATTTATTAACTGCCACTCAAACAGCTTTGGCCGCATATAGTTTGTAGCTTCTTTAATTCAGGCAGTAATTGTCATGGTAGTCAATGCACAGTGACAGTTCCTCTATTCATTCAATCATTACAGCTGCTGCTGGAAACTATCTTGGTAAGATGCAACAGCCGCTGGGTGTTTACAGCAGCAACACGTAAAGCTTTTGTGGGTTCAATCGTGATGACATCGTTTGGTGTTGCGGAGTAGAAGAATAAAGATGTATTGATTTTAAAATTGGCACATAGCCTTTACTCTCTCTCCTTTTCTGCTTTCTCCGCCATTGATTTTCCTCTCAGCATCTGTCCTCAACTTCATCCTACTCACGCTCCCTCCTCAGTCTCTACCTTTTGCACCTTATTCCCTTATTGTCTCCCTTACTTTCCCCCGTCCTTAAACCAGTCCTGTAAAACCTAACCTGTCACCTGTGAAGGGGGAATAAGAGACCAGGTGTCGAAAGCCGGCCGATCGAGTCGTTCTTTTCATTCCCGTCGCTCTGGGATTGTCTCCCTTAGCTTCGCCTGCAGGCACAGACGGCTCAGCCGGGAGGGGGAGAAAAGAAATTGGTCCACTCGCTGTACGGATTGTTATTCACACTCATTTGTCTTCCCCTAACAAAATTATCTGTCTGATCCTATCTGTTGCTATCTGTTTACCCCATCCTACCGCCGCCTGTGTGTTGTGTTGTATCACGCTGGATAACAACAGAGTCAGACCCCTGTTATTGGCTGATTTAAAGGGACTTCAATCAATTCAAATCATATTAAAACATGCAGGGAGTTCTTATGAGTTCATATTTAGTTTGAAATCAGTCTAAATAATTCACGTATTGGGTGAACATGGAGTTAATATGAGTCAATGTTGACTGAAGCTCTATTTCCTTCTAAAATGAATTGTTTGGCTCAGGCATCTGAACAGTTGAGCCAAACTGTAGCAGGAAGGCTTCACTTTGAGTTGACAGATAACTGCGTGCCTGTAGTTGCTCTGTGAGGAGAAGTGAGCATGCATTTCCTTCAAACGTACAGTATACTATAGGTTTGAATACACCTCGACAGAATCTTCCACATCCTCCACAATTAAATGGGTTAAGAATTCCTCCAAAATGAATTACAATTGGTCTTAATCAACCAAAGAAATCAAATTTCCTGTTTAATTTCTGCGTAATTCTTTACATATGTAACCAGAACAGTATAGGATAGGATGTTTGAAGCAGTCCATGCTAACGCGATAGCTTCCCACACTATCAAAGGGATTGACAGGCCCAGTTGGAAAGTCAGTGTACAAAACGTCAATGTACTAAGTAACGCCGTCTGCGCTGAGCGAGGAGCTTTTTGCTGGGAGTTAAAGTCACATCCTCAGCAGTCCCCAATTCTGGTGCCAAGCTCCCACAATGCCCCTGGGCACCGGTCGCTCGGCCTTTCGCCACTGAGATACGCAAGTGTTTGTGTTTGTGTGCTGAGGGTTGATGCATCTGTCTTCCTGTCTGTGCCGTCCAGACACTTTTATCCTGAGACATTAGCTGAAAAAAAAA